CGCGCAGAGCCCCGAATCTCCCTACCCGCGGCAGCCATGAGCGACGGCAAGGACACCCTCGACCTCTCCGCCCTCGGCGCCGCCGTCCCCAACGCCGCAGGTTCGTTCGCTCCCCCGCCTCTCCCCCTTGCTGCTGTTGCCGTTGATGGGCTGCGAGGTCTTATCGGTTTCGCTGGTGGTGGTTTCGATGCAGAGCTCAGCGCCGAGGACAAGGCCAACCTCGTGGAGTCGATTAAGGTGAGGTTTTCCGTAGCGTCTCTGTCTTATCTCGGACTCTGGGTTGTTTATGTGGCCTAGTTGTGCTGATTCGGTGCCGTGGTTGTGCAGAACACGCTGCAGGGATTGGCGGCGCGGCACACGGACGTGCTCGAGAGCCTGGAGCCCAAGGTCAGGAAGCGCGTCGAGGCGCTCAGGGAGATCCAGGTATAACTACAGGGGTTCCACTACGCGGCGCTGTTGCCATGCGTTCCTTGTGGCATGAATTTGGTACTGCTGCCTAGGTGATTCGCGGCAGCGTGGATCATTAACTGTTCCTAAGTGCGATTTCTGCGATCCTCCGATGCCACTTGCGTTAGAGGGTACAGCTTTGTACGTACTGAACACTGATAAGACGGCTTGCTGTAACGGTACAGCTTGGTTCGTAGTCGTACTGCCATGATTGATTGCTATCCAGGCTGAGCAAGGACTGTTGAATATAGGTCGCACGGTTGCTTATTAGTGGACTCTTCAGGCTGTGCTTCTGATTCCTGCCATGATTCTAGGAAAATGATAGCAGCTGTCTAGATTTTAGTTTCCCCTGATAACCGTTTTAACTTTTTTACTCTTAATGATGGGTCATTGGGGTTGGGTAGGACAAGTTAGATAACAGCGTGATAGAGAGATCAAAGACATTCATGTTTCCCGAACCGACAACGCATAGGCTTGTCTTTTACTTGAAGCTTTATTCATTCTTTGTTTGTATTTTCCTGTTTCTACACTTTGTGAGTATTTCGAACAAGGCGACAACTTGTATGTTGCCCAGCTCTATCACCGATTTGCTGCTCATTAGATTGTAGTGTAATGTCCTTTTTTAGAGAAGGATGGTATCATATAAAACGGTACTGGCTATTTTTGGAAAACACAACCAGTATGTTTGGACTTCAAAATAATCTATTTGTATCTGGTGGTGGATTTCTTATCTTTGTTTGCTGCTTGCACCTGGCAGAGCCAACATGATGAATTTGAGGCAAAGTTTTTTGAGGAGAGAGCTGCACTTGAAGCTAAATATCAGAAGATGTATGAACCACTGTACTCAAAGGTAAACTACCAATGTCGGTGCTTGTTATTTGCTGTTTTATCCTGTTGCCTAACTTCACTTTTGACTCCTGTAATGGGTGTTTAACTCTCACCTGTGCCATGACAATAACTGCTCAACTTGGATATACAGAAATTGTTTCTATTTTGCATGGTTCATACAATACAAGCTCTGTCTTGAATCATATTTGATGCTGTATGCCATGATCCATCTGATGTATTTCTTGCACCTGCAAAATGACAGCGTCATGATGTTGTCAATGGTGTGGTTGAGGCAGAAGGCGTAACCAAAGATTCAGGTGAAGCTGCTCCAGATGAGAAAGGTAAACATATGTTGACCTGTGCTAAGATCTTTTGAGTAATTTTCTATGCTGGATGGAGATCATATATAGGATAAAAGGAATATAGTCTCTAGCTGTCTTTAACCTTGTATATGATGCTTCCCTGCAGAGGAAAAGGGTGTGCCAGATTTCTGGTTGAATGCAATGAAGAACCATGAAATCCTTGCTGAGGAGGTGGGACATTGCACCTTTTTGATCCAACTTGTCTTTAGATCCATTTGCACTTCTAATTCTATTGTTTGGAATCTTATTTATTATGGTTTACTCATATCCAGATTCAAGAGAGGGATGAGGAAGCTCTCAAGTACCTCAAGGATATCAAGTGGTACAGAATTACTGAGCCAAAGGGTTTCAAGCTTGAGTTCCACTTCAATACTAATCCATTCTTCAAGAATGAAGTGCTTTCAAAAACGTACCACATGATCGATGAAGATGAACCAATCCTAGAGAAGGCTATTGGGTAATTATTATTTCAACTCACATGTTGTGTTTATTATTATTGATTGTTCCACTAATGTGTCTGCTTTGGTATTTTTCAGAACTGAAATTGAATGGTATCCTGGAAAGAGCTTGACACAAAAGGTGCTAAAGAAGAAGCCAAAGAAGGGGTCGAAGAACACTAAACCTATCACGAAAATCGAAAATTGCGAGAGCTTCTTTAATTTCTTCAGTCCACCTCAAGTTCCTGATGATGATGAGGAAATTGATGAGGATACAGTAAGTTAGACTCTTTTATGTATGCTCTAATGTTTGAAATTATGTGTGAGCGTGATTTGATATATCTCCCATTTCAATAGGCTGAGCAGTTGCAGAACCAGATGGAGCAAGATTATGATATCGGGTATGTATATGATGTTCTATGCAGTACTGCAGTTCTATGCTTCAATGTTTGTTCTCTGTTCTAAATATCCGCCCATTCTTGTTTCCCAGATCTACCATCAGAGACAAGATTATTCCACATGCTGTTTCATGGTTTACTGGAGAGGCCGCTCAAGATGAGGACTTTGATGGCATCATGGATGATGATGAAGATGACGACGAAGATGACGAGGAGGATGAAGATGAGGATGAGGACGACGAGGAAGATGAAGACGATGACGATGGTGATAAGAAGGTATGTTAGCCTCTGAGAGTTGTTTTGTGCTCCTGTTATAGTTTGAATAGTTCAGTCCATTCAAATATTTTGCCATTTTTCCTTTGTTGATTTGAACAGAAGGGCGGGCGAGTTCCTGCAGGGGAAGGTCAGGCAGGGGAGCGGCCCGCAGAGTGCAAGCAACAGTGAGATCCTTCCCAGACGAAGACTATTTTTCTTGGCTGAAGAATGTTTGGTTCTGCTTGATGCTATGTCTTTGAGTTTGGTTCCGAGGAGCCAGTGGGGGATTGATTGAGTTGGGTTTTGTGGAAGAACCGGTGGGGGGTTTCTTTGTCGGGGACATGGTATTATATACTGGTAGCATTTCAATTGTTGTATTGGGTTGAAATACTTTGTCCGCTGCTGCGAGTGATCATCGATGGTGCCCGTTTGGTAGTCCTACTTGTTTTGCCGGGAAATTTTGATATACTAGGTATTTGTGCGCGCTACATTCATTGTTTCAAAATGCATATCTGCATTGCCTTGGCTATTTCTCGGGTCGCTGCTGAAACTAAACTTTTGTTGAAAGGCCTGATCAAGCCTTTTGGTTTCACTGGTTTCAAAACTGGAACACTCGTTGTCCAGTTTGGAGGGCAAAATCGATGTCTGCTGTGATTAAACCTTTTGGTTTCACTGTTTAGTAGGAACACTGACTATACATCGCGGAGGGTAGGAGACTCTACGCGTGGTATGCTATCCTGATACTGATTAAGGCAGGAAAAGTTAGTAATCCGCGAGGACTTTGGAGATCACTTGCAGCTGCATTTTCCGCATCATAAAGCACCTGTCTTTTCTTTTTGTGCATATCTATGGCACGGTAGGTACGGTAAGGAAGAGAAAATTGGATATTTGCCACTTTAAGCATCGGGCTTCTCAAAAATGCCACTCTCAAGATGGGCTTCTCAAAAATGCCACCCAGCTCATGGACATCTTGATTACTATGCCATTTCCCCCGTTTTCCTGTTTTTTCTTTAGTTTTTTTATTTATCTGCGCTTGAAAGGACCAAAGTGCCCTTGTCTCTCCTAACCTTATCTGGTTTGTGCGTGGCTCGATTGGGTCGCCCATGGGATGCTCCGATGCTGTCCGATTGCTCGCTGCTGTAAGCCTGTAACTCGGCCACGCCTGCGCGTGCCGCCGAAGCTCGTTCTTGCCGGTCACCCACGCCACGCCTAATCGCAGCTGTACCTCGCCCTCACCTGCTCGCCACCATGCGTTAGATATTCTCTTAATACTGTTCCACAACAACTCATAATTATTCTTTATCTTATACGACTGCTCGCACCAGGCCAAGCTCACGTGCAGAGTGCTTAAACTGGATGCATAATCTAGATATATCTACTTGCAGTTGCAGATATACACGGTATAGTTTTGTAAATTAAGATCATGCGAACAAAGCAAGAGAAAGGCTTAGCAAAATACAGTGCAGAGGACTGGGTTCCATGCTGTCGTTGCCGCACCATGGTGCGTGGCGTCCCCGTCCAGGCGATTGGCGCCAGCGACGTCCATGGATAGGCAGCGCGGAGACGCCCAGGGATCGGCACCCCGGCGGCGTCAAGGATATCAACAGCGGCGACGTCCAGGCAATCAGCGGTGGCGCCGGCGGCGGTGTATAGGCGATTTGCGGCGTCAAGGATATCAACGGCAGCGACGTCCAGGCGATCAGCGGCGGCGGCGGTGTGTAGGCGATCTGCGGCTCTGCGCCTGCTCGTGGTGTTATCAACTGTTTTTCAGGCTGGTGGCGCGCGTGATGTCCATGAGCTGGGTGGCATTTTTGAGAAGCCCATCTTGAGAGTGGCATTTTTGCGAAGCCCAATCTTTAAAGTGGCAAATGTCCAATTTTCTCGGTAAGGAATGTTCGTTTGGAGGTTTGGAGAGGGAGGAGAGGATCATAGACCAGCTACCGTTTTTGCACACCCATTTTTCTACCGGGCCCTCCGTTCCGAAACACTACTTGTCATGGTTTTAGCAGTTTAAATGAGAACAAAAACCATAGTTTTAGTAGTTTAAATTTGAATTAAAACCATGACAAAATATGGAGTATTTTGGAACGGAGGGGAGCAACAATCACGCGCCTGATTATGAACTCCTTGAGCTTCAAAGGCCCTGCACCTGCCCTGCCCTGCCATTTTGTAGTAGTACAAGATATTCTTAGGAAGGCCAACAGTGTTAACTGAACACTCTTTCCGTCTAGTTCCAACTTCCAACACCAGCGAAAAGCACACAGGCAGAGAGGCAGTCAATCCATTGGAACTTCGAATCACAAACGAGAGAGAGACGGAACGAAAATCAAAACAAACAACAGCCAGCCACAATCTCTGAGACCATGAAGCCCTTGCTACTAGTTGTACTTGCTTGGTTGGTTAGTGGCGAACAGCAGGAAACCACTACTCGCCTACTACTACAAACAAAACGCTTGATCCGAGCCGCCGCCGCCGCCGCCGCCGCCGCCGCTGCTCCTCCGTGTACCCGTTTGGTCGTGTCTAATCTCCATGCCGGAACCCCAAAATCTGTGGAGAGCCACACACTTTCTCTATACCTATCACAACCTACCCCCGTTCATGAACTTCTTCACCTCGTCGTACAGCACGAGTATGGCGGCCGCGCCGGTGCTCCGGAACATGTTCGACAGCGCGCCCCGGTAGAACGACTTGACCCCCTCCGCCTTGTAGATCTTCCTCCAACAGTCGAGGGTGCCGCTGTACATCTGCACCTCCATCCCTGACTGCATCATCATCCTTCGCCGCACCGTGTCCAGCGGGTACGAGATGAGCCCCGCCGTGGAGGTGACCGCCTGCGCCGCCACCCAGCGCTGCCACAGCAGGGAGTCCAGCGGCACCAGCGTGTCCTTTGCCGTGTCAAAGCCTCCAAAGTATAGGCCCCGGTGCACGACCATCCCGTGGAGAGATGCGGGTAGCCCTCTGTAGATGCCGCGGATGCCGTTCTTCTTGTAGATGGTTTGGATGAAGTGCCGGATGCCCTTGAACTGGCGGGCGTCTGTTTGGCCAATGTCGGCTGCAAGGCGGGTATGAGCTATGTCGAGTGGGTAAATGATGACCAGAGTCGTGCATCCGGCGGCGGCACCAGCGATGAAGTTGGCGAGAGCAATTGATGCGAACTTATTGTCTGCTGAGGTTCCCGCGTCTTTCAGTATGCTCCTGTACAGATCCTGCAAGAATAACCATCAGGGATTATAGACATAACATAACCATAAGATGATTTTAAATAGTTAATAGTCAATAAAAAAAAATTGCACATCAGTATTAGATTGGGTGCGGTTTCATGCTTGGCCCTTTACATAACTCCCTTCACTATACTTAATGAACTATGCATCCAATCTTGCAACATTAAAAAAAGAGCATGTTTGTATTGACAAAATAATTAATAGAATGGACAAAACGAAAAACAATTGCTCTGAATCCTTGGCTATATTTATTATGACATTACGAGTTGTACACAATTTCTTTCAGCATTAAGATCCAAGATGAGCAGTTCTTGCTTCCCTATAACCATGTGCTAAGATAAACATATAAGATATTAACTTCAGCTCACAACTGCCTACCTCCCAAATCAGTACACAAGACCATCAAATTAAGAAAGCTGGCACATCCGGACAGAGGTTAACTACCCACCAACAAAAGATGCATGAAACCCCGTGACAGTAAGTTCGCAGCAGCGAGTAGGTGAAGTAGTACCCTATTGAAAGTAAGATGGACCAGCTTGGGATAGAAACATTGGGCCAATGCATAATTTTGGCCAGCAATTGACCATCTTCACGCACTCATCACCAATATATCTACATTGTCCATACATGTATATTTCACTTTCAGTAGCTGGTGACAATTACCTGATATGTCTGGTTCTTGAGTTCTACTATGACAAAAAACACCAATGGGTCAATGGGCAGTATTGTGGTTATTTTCATGCCATCTCATTAACACAAACAAAAGAGAGCAACTCCAAAACCCGACACATTCAAGATTTAATATCCGGCCTAGTGTCTACAATCCATGTTCTCATCATTGAAACAAATAAATGAGCATGGTACGTTGAAGGAAAGTTAGCAGAACTACTGCAGTAGAAAGGGGACATCATGGTAAACCGCTAACTGAAGTATAGCAAACATGCTTGACACTAAAATTTCATCTTACTCATAAATTATAAGGAAATTGCAGATACATGCTTATAAACTTATTTGACGTCATTGTTTTAAAAAGTAATTAAAAAGGACAGGCAATAGGCCACTTGCTTGATACCAATGAGAAATTCAACCTAAAGAAGATTAGCAAGAGCATAAAACAAGGGACTTTTCAGTTAATGGTTGACTCAGTATGATATATCATCTAGTGTCCTAACTGTGCACTTTGTACAACTTCTGCTACTTTTGAACGATAAGTTGTAGATTATCCTTACTAGTTATTGCTGCATCACAAAATCACTCTCCGTTCATGTTGAGGCAAGATCTACTGGTATTGCGCATGTTAAACTGAAAACGAGCTTAGGAGGTCAGTACACACTGCATATCCGACGGCATAACTTTTCATCACAGAGAATTGTCGTTTTGTTACCTTTCAAAACCAAAGGTGCCAAATGGCAAGTCAAATATCTGCTTGAATATCTGTTTCTGTCAATCCGTTATGCATTGATGGCATCTGCTATCTTTCATGATAACTCTTTGCCGTTTTGCGAGAAAGACATTCCATAATTTTATCCTGCACTAGGCCCTTGTAATCCACTAGTACTAATAACATGTTGATGATGTCATATGGTATCTTCATATGGCATGCAAAAAGTAGTTGGTAGTATAGTTGATGTAGCCAGATTTTCGCTAGATGTTGGCTTACGAGACATCACTTATAACGGTATAGTTCCAGTGCGTCATTCCTACCTACTTTCTCAACATAATACTTGACCAAATAGATCTTAACCAGCCACACTGTAAATGGAATTGTACAACTAGCCTAGAAAGGCACAAGAATATATGCACCAATAATACCATTCTCTAGTGTTTATATATCACTGATCTCTGGTGCTTTTGGAGACAAGGGTCACGAGCAGCAGAGCACTTTATTCTTTGATTCTTTGCCATTCCGGGAGGCAGACATTCATCCGTGGAGAGCGAAAGCCCACCAAATATCTTACTAAATCTTATCTGTTGTCAGTAAAGACATGTCAACCCGAATCTAATCTCTCCATCCCTGAGAATTCACCTCGCCGCACGGCACTGTGGGGCATGGAGACGAATGGCTCTGGATGCTCCCTACCAAGCACGCAACGAACGACATGGCCGGACCTCAAATCTCCGTTCGCGTCACAAATCATTCTAAGCACAGCAAGCGAATCGGTCAAGCGAAGAATGGAGCAACGATCCCCAAATCCGCTGCGCCAGCATCTCGCTAAACACTGACGAGATCGCGTCTAATCAACCAGCAGCAGCACCGGAAACGACGCGCGGCGGCTCAATGAAATGCAACTGCTACTGATCATCAACGGGTCGAGTAAGGAGGAGGAGGGGAAGGGGGTTGTGAACCTTGAGGGAGAAGTTGAGGGCGACGGAGGGGTAGTAGCGGATGACGGCGGTGCCGTTGCCGCGCCAGAGCGAGAGCACGCCCTCGTCCCGCACGGTGCGGGCGACGCAGTCGGCGAAGCCCCGGAAGCGGCGCGACCTCCCGAGCAGCGCGGCGTTGCCGTCCTGCGTCTGCAGCAGCAGCTTGACCCGCTCGATGGGGGCCACCACGGTGTGCACCGCGCCCCCCATCAGCGCCCCCGCCGCCAGATCCCGCCTGAACGCCCACGCCCGCCCCGCCCTCGCCGCCCCATCCTCCGCCGCCGCCGCCGCCGCGGCCCCCTCGCTCATTCGCGTCCCGGCTCGGCGCTACGCTTCGCTTGCTGCGCGTGATGGATGTATCGGCGAGTCTGTTTCGCTTCGGTCGCTCGGGTAGTCGGGTGGTTCGGCTCGGTGGGTCGCTGGGTGCGAGGCGGGTCGGGTCGAGCTCCCCCGTTTTGTTGGGCCTGGCGGCGGGGCGATGATGATGAGCGCGACGGGTATTCGATCGGGATGGGCTTCCCTCCCACGCAGCAGCCTTGCCGTTGCGTTGCGTGTCCGGGGCGCATCGCATGGCGGCGTGCTCTATCCGCAGGAGTAGAGCTGGCGTGCTCTCTGTCTATCTTTGGAGCGTGACAGGTGATGGTGAGCACTGTCAGCTGCCGTGAGCACTAGCACCTCTTCCTCTCCTCGGAGTCACTCGTTCTTCTCACAACTTGGCTGAATTTCTTTGGGTTTTCAGATATTTGTGGTGTGCGGCGGGCAAGATGGCAGGTATGCTGACCCGTGTATCTATCTATCTATCTATCTATCTATCTATCTATGTTGCTCGTGCCTGGATTGTGACACATGTTGTCATGTGAGATTTGAAAACTTTTAACGTGACGAAAAGGTTTACCCTTTTTACATTTTAGAATGAAAATGGAAAACATGTGTGTGTGTGCGCGCGCGCGTGTGTTACAATGTCGAGGCCATGCCTAGAGGCCCTGTTCAAAGGCGGCGGCGTCTCATCTATCAATTCTGAAACAAGATTCAGTCTATCATGTGTCAAGCATACATAGAGTCTCATAGATGAGGCCCTCGGTGGCCAATTGTGCTCCCAAATACTGATTACTTTACCATCGCCAACTCTTCGGGTTAGACCATGTGATAGCACATCCTTGCCTTTAATTATAGCCCGCCAAATCTGCGAATGGTTGCTACCAAGTTGAGCATTGGGTCTTGTCATAACATCCCAAGAAATCCGCGACAGTTTCCCGTGGCCATCTTTGCTACCCCACCAAATTTTCCGAATGAGAGAGTTGATATGCAAACATAGCCCTCTAGGGAGCTTGAAACATCCCATGGAGTATATTGGAATAGCTTGGACGGCGGATTTAACGAGGACATCTTTCCCTCTAGCCGACAAGATCTTTTCTATCCATCCCCTCACTTTGTTCTAAACAAGTTCCTTTAAGAACTTGAAAGCACCATTTTTTGATCGCCCAACATCCATGGGCATTCCCAAGTACTTCTCTCGTAAAGTTCGTTTGCCACATTGAGAATATTTTTGACATCGTCTTTTATATTTTGTGGGTACCCTTTGCTAAAGAAAATAAAAGATTTGAAGTGATTTACTCTCTGACCAGTAGCCTGACAATAGACATCCAACAAAGAAGAAACCTTTCTCGCCCCTTCTACACTAGCCTTGACGAACAACGGGCTGTCATCCGCAAAAAGCAAGTGGTTCACCGATAGTGCCGACTCTGCCACTTTAATGGGATTGACGTCTGATGACTGAACTTGGTTTTTTAAAAAGCACGAACGACCCTTTGCTGGCAACAAGAATATATATAGGGGGAAATAGGATCACCTTGTTGAATACCTCTAGTAGGACTGAACTGCTCCAATTTCTTTCCATCGAATAACACAAAAACTTCAGTGATATGAAAAGACTCATCGTAGTAGATATCCAAGATGGTGGAAACTCAACTTGGTCATTATGGATTGCAAATAATTCCATTCCAAACGGTCATAAGCTTTCATCATGTCCAGCCTTAAAGCACATAATCTTTTTTTTTCTGTGTTCCTCTTCATGAACTAGAGCCACTCATATGCTGAAATAATATTGTCAGTGATCATACGACCAGCAACAAAAGCGAACTGCTCCTCTTATATGATCTCTAGAAGGACCTGTTTGAGGCGATTAGCAACAACCTTTGAAGCAATTTTATAGATCACATTACACACACTGATTGGACGGATTGTGATAACATGGGTCTTTCACTTTTGGTATGAGTACTAGGATAGTATCATTTAGATCTTTTGGGCTTTCCTCATGTCGAAGGATTTTTAGGAAAATTGTTGTTACCTCAGTATCACATACCTCCCAATGTCTTTGGAAAAAATTGAGGCAGGATACCCATCTGACCCCGGAGCCTTCATTGGTGTGATCTGAAAAAAGGCCTCCTTCATCTCATCTGGTGTGTATTCATCAGTAAGATTCATATTCGTCTCTATGGTCACCTTCCTCGGTACTGTATCAATCACTTGCTGCTTATTCGAGGTGCCCTCCGAAGTGAACAAATCTTTATAAAAAAATTGTAGCCATAACTTCCATCCACACAGGATCCGACATGGTAGTGCGACCGGCCCGATTGAGTTTCTTTACCATATTCTTCCTCCTGCGCATACTAGCTCGTCGATGAATTATTTTTGTGTTTTTATTGCTGACTGTCAACCACTCTATACGGGCACGCTGCCTCGACATTATCTCCTCACGGTGATAATACTCAATCAGCATGTCATTGATCTTAATTTCAATGTGCGAAGGTCCATTCCTAGCTGGGTTGCTTCGGATTTTTTCTAGCTCAAGCTTGACCTTCCTTATTTATGATTGCTCATTGCCAAAGGTGGTTTTGTTACACTTGCCCAAAGAGGATGAAAAGGAACCAGGTTTCTCCTTTGGCTCAGCAACAGAAGTGGTGCATTGTCCTTATCAATGCTGCTCGATCTTGGCCTTGAGCGCTTCATGGGACTCCCACATTTGCTCATAACAAAACATAAGGAGTTGAAACACATGGACCATGTGAAAGCACAAGAAGATCATGATCTGATGTAGATGTCGTCTCATGGTACATTATTGCCTCTGGAAAAAGTGTACACCAATAATTCGTGGCCAGAGCTCGGTCCAGACGCACTCTCGTATATGTTCTACCGGTGACTTTCTTCTCAAAAGTCCATGGTTTCCCTGTGTATCCAATGTCCATCAGTCCACAAACATCAACGACATCTCTGAAATCAAAAATTTGTGACAGGCTTCTTCTCGCAATTCCCACATACTCATTCGTCCAGAAGATCTCGTTGAAGTATGCAAGGCATGGCCAAGGGAGGTTGCTAGACCCGGCCAGAGATCCCATTAAGTACCAAGTTTTATATCTCTCACCCGTTTGAGCTTCACTGTAAACACATGTTAGTCTCCACTCATCACTGGTTTGAGTAGAAACTTTTGCATCAATGTGATACTCCGAATAACCAAAAACATCAAGCTTCATTGAATTATTCCAAAAATGACCTAGACCTTCACTCCTTCCATTACTACTAACAACATAGGAATTATCAAACCCTAAAGTGTCGGACAAGTTTCAACCCTAGTTTTGGAGATTTGGGTTTCAACTATGCATAGTAAAAGGGGGGCAAATTGCCTCGTCATGTCACGAAGCTCTCGAATTGTCACGGTGTTGCCAGCACCGCGACAATTCCAACATATGATACTCATTGTGCTCACTGGTACTCTCGCCGGAGCCCGCCATTGATGCATTTTTTCCCTAGAGTGTTCTTAATCGCCATAGTTGAGCTGTTGGATGATACTTCATTTTCTCCCTTCCTAGCCCTCTTAGGATCAAGTTTAGAGAGACTTGGAGGTACTGATGGGGGCTAGAGATTTGCACATCTTGATATATTGCTCGCAAGAAGGCTACTGATCCCAGAGGTGCACCCAAAGCTGGGGTTTTCAGCACCTCCAAAGCACCACGTTTTCTGTTTGGGTCGGCCACCTCCATGTTTACATCACTATCACTCTCCTCAAAATGGTTCAGATGATCTCCACCGCATTGTTGCCTAGTCCACAAGCCTCTCTCGGGCCCTCGGCAACCATTGCATCCTTGGTTTCCGCGTCCATTGCCACGTCCAAGTCCATCTCCCGGACGCATGTACCAAGTAGCTCATAGGTCCTTGAAGACAAGCGTTGAAGGAGGGTGATGTCTACTACACAATTTTATTCTTGTAGACTCGTGTTGGGCCTCCAAGCGTAGAGTTTTGTAGGATAGTAGCAATTTTCCCTCAAGTGGATGACCTAAGGTTTATCAATCCGTGGGAGGCGTAGGATGAAGATGGTCTCTCTCAAACAACCCTGCAACCAAATAATAAAAAGTCTCTTGTGTCCCCAACACACCAAATACACTGGTAAATTGTATAGGTGCACTAGTTCGGCGAAGAGATGGTGATACAAGTGTAATATGGATAGTAGATATTAAGTGAGCACAAATGGTATTGCCATGCTTGAAAATGAGGCCTAGAGTCAGTACTTTCACTAGTGCCAACAATACTAATATAATTGGATCACATAACCATCCCTCAATGTGCAATGAAGAATCACTCCAAAGTTCTTATCTACCGGAGAGTATAAGAAGAAATTGTTTGTAGGGTATAAAACCACCTCAAAGTTATCCTTTCCGATCAATCTATCCAAGAGTTTGTACTAAAATAACACCAAGTTATCGTTTCCGATCAATCTATCTAAGAATTCATACTAAAATAATACCATATGATACCATCAACCAACTCTAATGTCACCTAGATACTCCAATGTCATCACAAGTATCCATGAGTTAATTATACGATATGCATCAAACAATTTCAGATTCATAATATTCAATCCAACACAAAGAACCTCAAAGAGTGCCCCAAGATTTCTACCGGAGAAACAAAGACGAGAATGTGCAACAACCCCTATGCATAGATTACCCCAATGTCACCTCGGGAATCCGTGAGTTGAGTGCCAAAACACACATCAAGTAAATCAATATGATACCCCATCGTCACTACGGGTATTCATAGCAAGACATACATCAAGTGCTCTCAAATCCATAAAAGTACTCAATCCGGTAAAAATGAAATCTCAAAGGGAAAACTCAGTTCATCACAACAAGATAGGAAGGGGAAAACACCATATGATCAAACTATATTAACAAAGCTCACAATACATCCAGATCGTGCCAAATCAAGAACACGAGAGATAGGGAGAGAGATCAAACACATAACTACTAGTACAAACCCTCAGCTCCGAGGGTGGACTACTCCTTCCTCATCATGGTGGGAGCCAGGGTGATGAAGATGGCCACCGATGATGATTTCCCCCTCCGGTAGGGTGCCGGAACAGGGCCTAGATTGGTTTTTCGTGGCTACAGAGGCTTGCGGCGGCAGGACTTCTGATCTAGGGTTATTTCTAGGGGTTTCTGTATTTATAGGATTTTTGGGCGTTGGTTTCACGCGAAGATGGGCCTCGAGGCGAGCATAACCCACCTGCATACGTGCAAGGGCCCAGGCGCGCCCTGGTGGGTTGTGCTCACCTCCTTCACTTTCTGGTCCTCCCACGAAGCTTCTAGTGTCTCTTTTATTACAAAAATATCATCAAAAAGTTTCGTTGCATTTGGAGAACTTTTATTTCTGCACAAAAAACAACACCATGATAGTTCTGCTGAAAACAGCGCCAGTCCAGGTTAGTTCCATTCAAATTATACCAAAATCATATAAATTTTTTGTAAACATGGCATGAATACTTCATAAATTATAGATACATTGGAGACGTATCAGAGGTTGAAGGCCAGTACCATGTGTTGGAGAACGTAGCATGTAATTTTAAAAAAAAATCCTGCGATCATGCAAGATCTATCTAGGAGATGCATGGCAACGAGAGGGGGAGAGTGTGTCCACGTACCCTCGTAGACCGAAAGCGGAAGCGTTAGTTTAACGCGGTTGGTGTAGTCGAACGTCTTCTCGATTCAACCAATCAAGTACCGAATGTACGGCACCTCCGAGTTCTGCACACGTTCGACTCAATGACGTCCCTCGAACTCTTGATCCAGTAAAGTGTCGAGGGAGAGTTTTGTCAGCACGACGGCATGGTGACGGTGATGGTGAAGTGATCCGCGCAGGGCTTCGCCTAAGCACTACGACAATATGACCGGAGGAGTAAACGGTGGAGGAGGCGCCACACACGGCTAGGAACAATTGTTGTGTGTTGGAGGTGCCCCCCGCCCCCGTATATAAAGGAGGGAGAGGGGAGGAGGCCGACCTAGGGGCGCCCCAAGTGGGAGGAGTCCCACTTGGGCTCCTAGTCCAATTCGGCCCCCTTCCTTTTATCGAAGGGGGAAAGGGGGAAGGAGAGTGAGAAGGAGAAGGAAAGGGGGGCCGCGCCCCCTCCCCTAGTCCAATTTGGACTCCTCCCTTGGGGGGGGGGGGCACGTGCCACCCTTGTGGGTTGATGTCGCTTGAAGCTACGTCGGTATTTCCCCAAAGAGGAAGGGATGATGCAGCACATCGACGGTAGGTATTTCCCTCAGATATGAAACCAAGGTTATCAAACCAGTAGGAGAACCAAGCAACACAACGTAAACAACCCCTGCACACAGATAACAAGTCCTCGCAACCCGACGTGTTAAAGGGGTTGTCAATCCCTTCCGGGTACGGCGCCTCAAGATAGGCAAACGAACGTGAGATAAAATTGTAGTAGATTGATAGATCGAACGCCAAATAAAATAAATAAGAATAAATTGCAGCAAGGTATTTTTGTATTTTTGGTTTAATAGATCTGAAAATAAATGCAAATGAAAAGTAGATCGCAAAGGCAAATATATGAGAAAGAGACCCGGAGGCCGTAGGTTTCACTAGTGGTTCTCTCGAGAAAAATAACAAACGGTGGGTGAACAAATTACTGTTGGGCAATTGATAGAACTTCAAATACTCATGACGATAGCCATCACGTCCAATATTAGTAGACCGACTCCTGCCTGCATCTACTACTATTACTCCACACATCGACCACTATCCAACATGCGTCTAGTGTATTAAGTTCATGGAGAAATGGAGCATTGCAATAAGAACGATGACATGATGTAGACAAGATCTATCTATGTAGAGATAGACCCCATCGTTTTATCCTTAGTAGCAACGATACATAGTTGTCGGTTCCCCTTCTGTCACTAGGATCAAGCATTGTAAGATCGAACCCACTACAAAGCACCTCTTCCCATTGCAAGATAAATAGATCAAGTTGGCCAAACAAAACCCAAATACCGGAGAAGAAATATGAGGCTATAAGCAATCATGCATAAAAGAGATCAAAGAAACTCAAATACTTTCATGGATATAAAAAGATAGATCTGATCATAAACTCAAAGTTCATCGATCCCAACAAACACACCGCAAAAGGGTTACATAATATGGATCTCCAAGAGACCATTGTATTGAGAATCAAGAGAGAGAGAGAGAGGAAGCCATCTAGCTACTAACTACGGACCCGAAGGTCTACAAAGAACTACTCATGCATCATCGGAGAGGCACCAATGGAGGTGGTGAACCCCATCCGAGATGGTCCAGATTGGATCCGGTGGTTCTAGACTCTACGACGGCTGGATCAATATTTTGTCGACTCCCCTAGGGTTTGGGAATATTGGGGCATTTATAGGGCAAAGAGGCGGTCCGGGGGGCACCCGAGGTGGGCACAACCCACCAGGGCGCGCGTGGGCCTCCTGGCACGCCCTGGTGGGTTGTGCTCTCCTCGGAGCACCCCCAGGCGCTGCCAGGGCCCATTATGTTCCTACTGGTCCAAAAAAATCTTCATAAAGTTTCGTTGCATTTGGACTTTGTTTAATATTGATTTCCTGTGATGTAAAAAACATGCAGAAAACAACAACTGTCACTTGGCACTATGTCAATAGGTTAGTACCAAAAAATGATATAAAATGACTATAAAATGATTATAAAACATCCAAGATTGATAATATAACAGCATGGAACAATAAAAAATTATAGATACATTGGAGACGTATCAGCATCCCCAAGCTTAACTCCTACTCGTCCTCGAGTAGGGAAGTGATAAAACAGAATTTTTGATGTGGAATGCTGCCTAATATGTCATATCATATTGTTTCTTTATAACATGGACATTTGGACTTTTATATTGTTCAAAGCAATAGTCTAGTTTTGACATGATAATTTAAATACTCAAGCATATCAACAACCAACCATGTCTTCCAAAATATCAACGCTAAAATAAGTTATCCCTAGCCCATCATGCTCAACCATTGATCCATTCATGAAACACACTCGCATATTAGCTACACACAATACTCAAGTACGATCATACTGCCTCCTAGTTGGTGCTTTTATAAGAGAATATGGAGACTCAAATTCAAAATAAAAATTGCATAAAGTAAGAGAAAGGCCCTTCACAGAGGGAAGTAGGGATTTGTAGAGGTGCTAGAGCTCAAAGCGAAAAACTTAGAGATAAAAACATTTTGGGAGGTGTATCCATCCCACCAACGAAAACGACTTAGAGTTCCCAACACTTTCCATGCTAGATATATCATAGGCGGTTCCCAAACAGAAAATAAAGTTTATTCCTTTTTCCATCATACTTTCACTTTCCATGGCTAACCGTATCCAAGGGTGCCTTCCATACCAACACTTTTCGAGGAATTTATTATTTGACAACATAAAGTAAATTCATTTTTTCATTTCGGGACTGGGCATCCCTAATACCTTTGCCTTACTCTCGTGCAATGACAAGTGAATAAACACTCATCGTGAGAATAACACATCTAGCATGGAAAATATTAGCCACCCCTCACCGCTCCGCAAGCGAAACGAACACACAAAAGAGAAGTTTATTTTGAAAATTAGAGATGGCACATGCAAATTTGCTTAGGACGGCAAAATAATACCGCATATAGGTAGATATAGTGGACTCATGTGGCAAAATGGTTTAAAGGATTTTGGATGCACAAGTAGAGATCATACTTAGTGCAAAATGAAGGCTAGCAAAAGATTGAGAAGTAACCAACCAAGAAACGGATAATCTCATAAGCAAGCATTAAGCATAATTAACACCGAATAATCCACCACAAGTAGGATATAATTTCATTGCATGACTATTGACTTTCATGCTTGCATAGGGAATCACAAACCTTAACACCAATATTCTTACTAAAGCATAATTACTCATCAACATAACTCACATATCATATCATCATACCTCAAAACTATTACTAAGAATCAAGTTTATTTTGTCCAATGATCTTAATGAAAGTTTTTATTATATCCTTCTTGGATATCTATCACTTTGGGACTAATTTTCATATGTTGCTTTTCATAAGCTCAAACAAATTTAAGTGAAGATCATGAGCATAATATTTCTTCCTTTCTCTCAAATTAATTTAAGTGAAGCAAGAGAAAATTTCTTGAAAATTTTACTAACTCTCTAATAAATTTAAGTGAAGCAAGAGAGCATTTCTTCAAAAATACTAAAGCACACCGTGCTCAAAAATATATAAGTGAAGCACTAGAGCAAGTCCATAGCTCATAACATTTTAAGTGAAGCAAAGAGAGCAATTCTAATAAGTCATGACATAATTTTGGCTCTCTCAAATAGGTGTGTCTAGCAAGGAATCAAGACTTAAAACTCAAAATAAAACAAGCAAAGACTCATATCATACAAGACGCTCCAAGCAAAACACATAGTATGTGACGAATAAAAATATAGCTTCGAGTAAAATACCGATGGTCGTTAGAAGAAAGAGGGGATGCCACTCAGGGGCATCCCCAAGCTTAGTTGGTTGCTCATTCTTGGATAATAGCTTGGGATGACGGAGCATCCCCAAGCTTAGGCTCTTCTACTCCTTATTCCTTCATCCATCGTAAGATAACCCAAAACTTGAAAACTTTAATCACACAAAACTCAACAAAACCTTCGTGAGATCCGTTAGTATAAGAAAATAAATCACTACTACAAGTGTTGTATCAAACCAATTCATATTTTGTTCTTGCATTATATCAACTGTATTCCAACTTTTTCTATGGAAAAACTCATCAAAGAAAACCATAGAGCCATCAAAACAAGCACACAACGCAAAGAAAACAGAATCTGTCAAAACAGAACAATCTATAGCAATCTGACTATTTCGAATACTTCTGTAACTCCAAAAATTCTAAAAGAATAGGACGACCTGAGAAATTTGTATAGTGATCTACTTCAAGAGGAATGGGTATTTTATCGCTCTCTGGTTTAAAGCGATAATTATTTTCGCGAGCACAAAAATTTCTGTTTTTTTCAGCAAGATCAAACAACTATCACCCAAGAAGATCCTAAAGGCTTTACTTGGCATAAACACTAATTAAAACATAAAAACACAATCATAACAGTAGCATAATTGTGCAAACACTCAAGAACAGAAAGCAAAAATAAAAAATAAATTTTATTCATTGGGTTGCCTCCCAACAAGCGCTATCGTTTTACGCCCCTAGCTAGGCATAAGATTTCAATGATACTCACACGAAAGATAAGAATTGACACACAAAGAGAGCATCAAGAAACATATGAAAACACATTTAAGTCTAACATACTTCCTATGCATAGGAATTTTATAAGCAAACAAACTATCAAGACAAGCAAAAACTAGCATATGCAAGGAAGAAGAAAGAAACAATAGCAATCTCAACATGAAGAGAGGTAATTTAGTAACATGAAAATTTCTACAACCATATTTTCCTCTCTCATAATAATTACATGTAGGATCATAATCAAATTCAACAATATAACTATCAGATAAAATATTCTCTTCATGATCCACATGCATGCAAAGTTGACACTCTTCCAATATAGTGGGGTTATCATCAAATAAAGTCATGACCTCTCCAAGCCCACTTTTATCAAAAATCTTAGTCTTAGAATCCTTCAGATTCTTCATAGTGATAAATTGATAATAATCCCAAGTGACTCAACAAATATAGCCATGCTCCCCGGCAACGGTGCCAGAAAAAAGGTCTTGATAACCCACAAGTATAGGGGATCGCAACAGTTTTCGAGGGTAGAGTATTCAACCCAAATTTATAGATTCGACACAAGGGGAGCCAAAGAATATTTGAAGGTATTAGCAGCTGAGTTGTCAATTCAGCCACACCTGAAGATTAATTATCTGCAGCAACGTGATCAATAGCAAAGTAATATGATAGCTTTGAAAATAGTAGCAGTAGCAATGGTAACGGTAACAGTGATATCAATAGTTTTGTAACAAGTGTAACAGTAATGATAGCAGTAGTAACTTAGCGAGAACAATATAGGATAAATTCATAGGCATTGGATCGATGAGTTGTTGGATGATATTCATCATGAGACAGTTATAACCTAGGGTGTTACGACACTAGCTCCAGTTCATCAATATAATGTAGACATGTATGCCGTAAATAGTTATACATACTTATGGAAAGAACTTGCATGACATCTTTTGTCCTACCCTCCCGTGGCAGCGGTGTCCTATTGGAAACTAATGGATATTAAGGCATCCTTTTAATAGAGAACCGGAACAAAGCATTAACACATGGTGAATACATGAACTCCTCAAACTACGGTCATCGCCGAGAGTGGTCCCAACTATTGTCACTCCGGGGTTGCCGGATCATAACACGTAATAGGTGACTATAACTTGCAAGATCAGATCTAGAACATGGATATAATGGTGATAACATAAACGGTTCAGATATGAAATCATGGCACCCGGGCCCAAAGTGACAAGCATTAAGCATGGCAGAGTCATAGCAACATCAATCTTAGAACATAGTGGATACTAGGGATCAAGCCCTAACAAAACTAACTAGATTACATGATGAATCTCATCCAACTCCTCACCGACCAGCGAGCCTACAAAGGAATTACTCACTCCCGGTGGGGAGCATCATGGAATTAGCGATGGAGAAGGGTTGGTGATGACGAAGAACGAAGATCCCCCTCTCTGGAGCCCCAAGCAGACTCCAGATCTGGCCTCCCGATGAAGAACAGGAGGTGACGGCGGCTCCGTCTCGTAGATCGTGATAATTCTTTCTCCCTGATTTTTTCTGGAAAAATAGGATTTTATAGCGTCGGTTTCAGGGTCTGCGGGGCCACCAGGTGGGGACAACCCACTTGGGCGCGCCAGGATGGGGTGTGTTGGGAAACGTAGTAATTTCAAAATTTCCTACGCACACGCAAGATCATGGTGATGCATAGCAATGAGAGGGGAGAGTGTTGTCCATGTACCTGTTGGGGAACGTAGTAATTTCAAAAAATCCTACGCACACGCAAGATCATGTTGATGCATAGCAACGAGAGGGGAGAGTGTTGTCTACATACTCTCGTAGACCGTAAGCGGAAGCGTTATGACAACACGGTTGATGTAGTCGTACGTCTTCATGATCGACCGATCCTCAGTACCGAACGTACGACACCTCCGCGTTCAGCACACGTTCAGCTCGGTGACGCCCCACGAGCTCACGATCAAGTAGAACTTCAGGGAAGAGCTTCGTCAGCATGGAAGCATGGTGACGGTGTTGATGAAGCTACCGACGCAGGGCTTCGCCTAAGCACCGCTACGATATGACCGTGGTGGATTATGGTGGAGGGGGGCACCGCACACGGCTAAGAAAGATCAATGATCAACTTGTGTGTCCTAGGGTGCCCCCCTGCCCCTGTATATAAAGGAGTAAATGGGGAGGCCGACCGGCCCTTTGCAGGGCGCGCCAGGAGGAGGAGTCCTCCTCCTAGTAGGAGTAGGACTCCC